TTCTGAGTTCTCTTTATTGGTGGCAGTTAACTTTTGTGTTATATCCTGGAGTCTCAAATGAAGACATTGCCCCAAATGAAATAATTACAGGTAAAGAGACAGAAAAATGTCCTGAAACATGGTCATTCCCGCCAGGTGTCTTCTGTTCTCTAAGCCCCGGACTGGGTCCTCTCTGACATCCTTAATATCCTTTCTAACACACACCAAGAGCAGCCCAACGTGTCCACCTGACAGCAACCTGAAGCCTGTGAAAGACAGTCAGGAACCTTAAAAGGTGTTTGTGTCCTTCACTCCTGCTTTGGAAAAGGTACAGATGCGCTTTCACATCTAAACCTCATCTATCCTCCCCATGATGCTAGTTGAGATTAGGACAATCAGCTTCTTTCTGAGGCATAGACAGCCTCACATCATTTGTCTGTGTGAGCTGTCTTTGAGGCTTCTCGTGCCACACCTAGCCACATCCTGCTTGCAGATCAGATGGAGGGTTAACACAACACTATTGGCTGGATGGCGTATTTAGGTGACATGTGGGGTTACGGTAGTCCCAAGGGCACCCGCTGTCCTTAGCTGAAGAAACAGTGGTGAACAGAGAGTTTAACAGGCCCCTCACCATACCAGAATGTCACTGCACTACTACAATGTTTAAGACTTCACTGTCGGCCAGTCACAGTGGTTTGCGCCTATAATTCCAACATTCTGGAAGGCTGAGGCAGGTGGATCTCTTGAGCTCAGGAGTCTGAGACCAGCCTGACCAAGAGCAACACCCCATCTCTACTAAAAATAGAAAAAGTATCCAGGTACCTGCAGCCTCAGCTACTTGGGAGGCTGAGGCTAGCGTATCTCTTGAGTCCAAGACTATAACGTTGCTGTGAGCTATAATGCCACAGCACTGTAGCTTGGGCAATAGAGACTCTGTCTTAAAACAAAACAAAAAAGAGACTTCACTGCTGTCCCCACATGCCCCCACCATACACTTATTTTTCTAGGAATAATGAGAAATGAATAATCATGAATCATTGAGGAGAAAGAGCCTAGTCACAATCAGGAGGACAGCTCATGTCAAACTCCTTCATATATGTAAGTAGAGGAAGAGTTCTGAATAGTCATCAAGATTTTCCAATCTGGCAAGCCCCAGGGTTGTTAACTAATAACTGGGGGTAGGGGGGGGTTGAGTCAGGCCAATAGCGATTCCATAGCAGACATGTCCCATTCAGGAGATGCAGTAAGTACTGCTGATGGCACTAAATGCTTCTACCAAGGTCTCCTCCTGCCACTGCCACTCAGAGTGCAGTGAGAAGGGACACTTGTCCGGGCGGCTCACTTTGCTTCTCTTCCCTTGAGCATCATTCAAGAGAATTTATGCCTCTAATGACCCCCAGATGTGACGGCTAGATATGAAGGTTGCAATGTAGAAATGCTCTCAGCTATTGACATTTGTGATAAAAAATATTTAAATAAATATATTTCATTTATTTTTACAAGTATATAATTCACAAGTGAAATTTCATCCCACGGCTACATTGTATCAGTGGTAAAGTCAGGGGTTTTACAAATAATATATATTGTGTCTACTAAGTAATTTCTTGTCATCCACTTCCCTCTCTGCCCTATCCCTTTTTATTTGGGCAAAAATATTTACAGGAAGGGAACTGTTTTCTCTGACTCACAGAATGGAAGGCTAAGAACCCTGATGGGTGGAGTCTCTGCCTGGGGCGATTGCACAACACCAGACAGTTATAAAGGGAGCTCACTGGGCCTTTTCTCCTTGCTGTCTTTGGAAATACTTCATTGGGTTTGAGGAGATTAAAACACTGTCCAGTTCTGTTTCTGAGAACTTTCCTGACTTATTCCTCTACTCAAAACAAGTATTGATTTGTGCATTTCTAAATATCTCAAGATCTGGACTACTGTCAAAGAAGCTTCCAGTGAGGTGAGCTGGTGTGTGTGTGGGGGGCGGGTATTACTGGTAGAGAAGTTCTGGCTACCTTCAAATGCATAAGGTCACAAGGAGAAAATCAGTATTTGATTTTTCAAGTTGTGGGGGTGAGGGGAGTAGAGCGGATGTCAACTATACCCAGGAAAATGAAAACAGAAGTTGCTTGATTATAATTCTTCACTTATTCAAAAAGATAATAGACATTTTTTATTCTATCACAACTGAGACCTGAAAAGGGGAATATGCATTTTGACCATTGCAAACTCTAAGAAATAATTTTTCAAGTGTCTAATAACATAAACTGTAATCTGGAAAATGGCTTTGGTACTCTTGGCTGGGGTGTGGTCAGGAACTCAGGAGCTGTGGGAAGGACTGGGGAAAAGACCAGAGGTGAATAATACCATGAAATAATATTAAGTAAAAATCACATCCGGACTTGAGGCTGTACCTTGTGTTATTCCAAGTTCACAAACAAGAACAAATGCACACAGAGTAGAAAGCTTCTCAGTTTCACACAGACTTTCCAATAAGTGGTGCCTTACTATTTTCATAAGCGTGTGTAACTTTTACTTTTGCTTCAACTATGCCAGGTATTCAGGCAGTATTTCAGCCATTTGGGGATTACTTTACACCCTCCTGAAAGTTAACATGTTTTTTGTCTGCAGGTAAAGTCATGTAGTCAATTAGAAAAGGATGCTCTTGGCAGCTTTTACAATTTTTTATTTTTTTTACTGCTTTTGGCACAGAGTCTCACTCTGTGCCCTGGGTAGGGTGCCATGGTGTTGTAGCAACATCAAACTCTTGGGCTCAAGAGATTCTCCTGCCTCGGCCTGATGAGTAGCTGGGACCATAGGTGTCAGCCACAATGCCCAGCTAGTTTTTCTATTTTCAGAAGAGGCAGGATCTTGCTCTTGTTCAGGCTGCTCTCAAACTCCTGAGCTCAGGCAACCCACTGGCCTCAGCCTCCCAGAGTGCTGGGATTACAGGTGTGAGCCACTGTGCCCTGCTTAGAAAATTGAGTTTTTACATAGCCTGGTACAATATTTATTTCATGTGTGCTTGAATAAATGTAAGATTTTAAATGATGATTTTTGTCTGTTATAAATGTTAGATAAACCTTGCTATTTTATCAATTGTGCTGCTCAAATTTTTTTATATCTTCACAGTTTTTACCTTGTTCATTTAGTAATTGAGAGAGATACCTAATATTGTGCTATTCGTTGTAGTTCTCTCATATTCACATGTAGTATACAGATATACTCACACATACAGAATGTATCTTATGTATCTACATAACATGTGTACACGTATGCAAGCATGTATACACATATATGAATATATATGTGTGTAGGAGTGAGTGTGCAAGTCTGTGTGTATATGAAAGGAAATATATAATAGTAATTATAAGATACTGAAATAATATAAAGCAATAACAAATAATATATTTATTACTATTAGATAAATTCATAACCAAAAGTTATATTTTCTTAAGAGTCCAACCTTTTATCATTATTTGGTATCTGAAATTATTCTTTGTCTTTTTTTTTTTTTTTTTTTTTAGACAGAGCCTCAAGCTATCCCTCTGGGTAAAGTGCCATGGTATCACAGCTCACAGCAACCTCCAACTCCTGGGCTCAAGCGAGTCTCCTGCCTCAGCCTCCCAAGTAGCTGGGACT